GGGTGACCCTACCAGGGGCATAAAGCCCCAGACAGCATAGCTCCTAGGATCATTGGGACACTCAAACCCCTCCACCACGATAAGGTAGCAGCCCAAGGAGAGGATCTATATTATATTATATATATATCTATATTCTCCTGGGGTTAATAATGAAAGTCATGAATGATGCTTGGCTCTGCCTCCAAATGTCTTTTAAAAAATTGCTGAATTATAATGCAGTCATTGTACCGAGGAATATACTGTACTTTAGGTACCTGGAAACACAGGGATGGGTGTACTGGAGGGAACATAATCAGCACAAAATGTAAGGAAATTTGTATTTGGTAGTATATTTTTTATTGTCACAATGCTACTTAACAAAAAATATTATACTGTTGGAAAGACTGTTAAATTTCCTTTTAAAATGTGCCACATTTGTAAGGAACCTGCTTTTGTGGGATGAGCAGTAGAAATGAGTATTTGAGTTGCATGCAAGAAAAATTAGCCAAATCTTCCCTGCCAAACAGCTGTATGGTAGCACCTGTGAGCATGGGCCTGGCTACAGTGGTCCATAGATGTATGCTCCAAGAATCAGTTTGCCACGTTTGACTGATCTGGATAGGGCCCATGCAACATGGCCACGTCAAACTGGTGTTCTGCAAAACCAAGTTGTGAAAGTATTCGGAGTGAGCCCTAGAACCATCTTCAAATTGAAGGCCAAGTTCCATATTACGAGGGATGTCAGAGACAGGCCACTAAGCAGGCGTTCCATAAAGACTTCGCACCAAGAAAATTGTTTCTCACCCTGTCAGCACTAAGGTACCATAGGCTGCCTTCCACAGATTTACAGTCAAGAATTTCAGGATGATATGACTGATAAATCTCTATACAGACATTCCAGAACTGATTGCATGTAGCCAAACTCCAATCTCATTGGGCAACCAAGAGGACTGACATGACTGCTCTTGACCATTAGGCTAATTTGTGCTGGTGTCAGCAACACATGCACTGTAACCTGAACATCTGAAACTTATGTTTAGAGATGAGTCTAGATTCTGCCTATGGCAGTTGGCTCGTAGGGTGAAAGTGTGGAGAAGACGCAGCAAATACTGTGCTGATTGCTGCACCGATAAAGTAACATCTTTGGTGGAGGAAGTATGATTGTGTGGGACAGAATCTCCATCTCTGGAAAAACAAGACTCGTCATCATTGGAGGCAATCTCAGTGCAGAGATGTCAAAATGAAATTCTGCAACCAGTGGCAATCCCACACCTCCACTCCTTCAAGATAACAACTCTCGCCCCCACAGAGCATGGTTTATCAGAGACTACCTTCAGAATTTGGTAGTGAAGAGAATGGAATGGCCTGCCAAAAGTCCTAAACTCAACACTTGCTGAATCGGCTTGGGCGTGCTGTTCCTACCAGAGTGACTAACACAACCACGATGGCTAACTTCCGACAAATGCTGTTTGAAGAATGGGACTCCATTCCACAGCAGTGTGTGACCAGGATGAGGAAGAGGTGCCAGGCTGTTGTGGTTGTATATGGTTCTTCCGCATGCTACTGAGGCTCCTGTTTGTTGAATAAATACATTGTTAAATTGCCCATATATCTTGTTTCTTTAAACTTCAGGCATTCAGTCGACCAAACAACTCAATGACAGAATATGCTGTTTAGCATTGGATGAGATTTGGCTAATTGTTCATGTGTGCAACCCATATATTCAGCTCTGCTGCTCATCCCACGAAAGTATGTTCCTTACAAATGTGGCAGCATTTAAAAAAGGAATTTAACAGACTCACTTTGTGTGCTAAGTTTACTTGTGACTGGCTCTAAATCATCTATTCTGTCCCCCAGCAGCTCAAAAATGGCATTACTGGAAATGATATGTTTTTAATATTTTTATTTTTGATAGTCCAGACTTGCTGACGCACACACAGAACACTCTGTCTCTCTGTCATCTGATATTGTGCCTATGCCTACTTCTCGCCACAATGAACAGACATTTGTTTGTGCCAATTTGCACCTGCCTTACAAACTTGCTATGTATAGGCATAAAAACAGCAACTGCAATCAGTTTCAGGTGTGATAAATCACACTATAGGAGATAAATCATTGCACTTACATATCCTCCTATCAGTAATTTGTGCATTCTGATGATGATATATTCTGCATATTCATGAAGGTAAACATGATAAATGGATAATATCTGATATTTTGCTCATTCGACAGACTCAATGCACACATTTAGTAGATCAGCTTTGCACACGCTATCAAGTGTGCACATTTTTATACATGCAAACCTTTAGTAGAACATGCCCTAAGTGTACTAATGTACTAAAGTGGTCTATGATCGCTACATGTATAATGCAATAAAATAACAGAAAATTCTCACTTTAGCACAAAGAGGACCCTCTGGCTGGCTTCAACACTGAAACACTGCTGCTTTGCACCCTTGACCTGATTGAGGCTGGAACAGAATCAGCTGCCAACACATTACGCTGGGCCCTCGTGTACATGATGAACTACCCAGAGATACAGAGTCAGGTTTTRTTYAYTRCAYAAARCAAKTGAATTATCCARCAAMTGKTAGCTGAAGATAAACTTGAGGTTCATAATAAAGTTTTTAATCTCTGCTTTTTCTTTCAGCAAAGGTCCAGGCAGAGATAGACAAAGTAATTGGACAGTCTCGTCAGCCCACCATAGCTGATAGACCCAACCTACCCTATACTGACGCTGTTATTCACGAGAGCCAACGAATGGGAAATATTGTTCCTTTGGGATTACCTAAAATGGCCAGTAAAGATGCAACACTGGGA